TGGGAAAAGTTTTCTTAAGCACAGGACTTTTGTGGTTAAGCAGCATTCGGGTCATGAAAAGGACTCTCTGGTGTGACTGTTCTGTAAGACAGTGTCCATCCTGTCTCCTTACCTCCCCTCACTTTTCCTGACTTCCTCCCAACGAAGGACAACAGAATCTAAATTACAGAAAAACCTTCCACTGAAACAGCTTTTTCTACAGATGCTGAAGGAAAAACCATATCACATCATGCGCCTCCCTCCCTCACTGCCGTTTTCTTTTGATTTGATAGCCGTTCCAAATGAGGGATCCCTCATACACTTGTCCTGTGGCGTGGAATCACGTCAGCGCTCTTCTCCTTCTCTCTTACAACAAAATGATTCATTTTTCTATTACGATGATGAGCGTGTGAAATGAGCTATATAATCAACAGCATAGGTTTGTAAACAGCAGCTGCACTCCAGGGAAAATGTGTTTTCTTTTTGGAAATAATACGTTGCTTGTGTGTGTGGAAAGGAAGGCTCATCTGACAATGCTTACAAGGACAATTTACATGAAATAAAGACACAGGCTGCCCAAAATGAAGGCAGCTTTCATAACACAGCTGGATGAAGAGGTAGCAATATGGAAGAGGAAAACAACTACAGTGAAGATAAGTTTACTTACTGCGTGTTGTTTAAAATGAGCGGAAATGGTTCTCTGCATTTGTCTTATGTAGATAAAGCTAGGATGTAGAAAGGGTCTTGAATATAACTATGAAAAATGTGATTTTTGTGTGTGTGGATGTGTGTTTCTGGGGGTGAGGGTAGAAACAGTCAAGACAGCTCTAAGAATTACTGTTCACAGTGATGTAGAGTAAGAATATGTGAACATAAAATGAGACCTGTCTTCATGTAAAAATGGGACTCATCACTGAGTCTAGGCTTGAAAGTTCATACAGTTAAAAGTTCAAATGCTCAATGTCTGTTTGATACTGTGATCCAGATTTGAACCAAGTGAATTTTAAAAGGGTAGAAAACTGTCTGGCAACATAAAATGAGATGGTAAAGTTCGCATGAGCTACTATACATCAATGCCATCTGTGGACAATCTTACATAGAGTTGAGCATGGCGCCTCTCATCCTTGCTGGCAATCTTCTCTCTTATGATGGCCCGCTCCACTGACAGGATACTGGATACTTCATCCTGGACCTGGGACTGGGCCTTAGCATGAGCCTGGCCTGATGCCCGGGCCTTCTCTGTCTCCAGCCTGCAGAGCATCGGCAAAATCCATTTCAAAATGTTAAGTAATAAAATGTACATCATGGTACAGGGCTACAGTATTGCTATAATACTACTACAGTATCGTTCCTTATTTCCCCTACAGCTATCACCACAATGCAGAAATTTTCAATGTGCAAATTTATGGTTTGCATAATATGTTGCACTGCCCATAGCACTCCACATTAAGGTCATTTTGTGTTGCCTTAGAACAACATGTACATATGGTCAAACAAAGGCTGCCTTTTGTGTAATTCTTAAACAAAAACCAAGCTACTTTGAAACAAAAAAAATGAAACAACACATTTCTAATGCTCTTTTTTTAAATTAAAGTATATAAAATGTTCATTTGGTTAAGCACAGATAGTGAATGGTATCAATGGTATAGTATCTGTTATTTTCAGAGCAACAAACAATTTTGGTCAAGTATTAGCATTTATAGCACCACTCATACTCATATGCCTGTTGTGCTGCATGCTACACTGTCTTGCAAAAGAACTGAAGGTCTCCAGTGCAAATATAGTGCTAATGAAGCATAGATATAGGCCAATATACTTGTATATAGATTTTCAATCTTATGTCACATTCATCCATTCCACAACTTGCAACGAGGGGGCAACACTCAAAAGTCATAATCAACACAGGGAAAACAGGTCTAAGTTGACTGCCCCAGTGTCAAAAATGCTTAATGTACCACAGCCAGTTAACATCTGTCTTAAAGTTCAAATCAATTTATATTATTTCCAAATAACTTTCACTGAAGAGTGATTTGATTATCAATATGTAATAAACACCACCATTTCCCCAAAACAGGAATGATTCACTCAAATGAAGCCGTGATATAGACAGAGGCAGTATGCTGTCTGCAGACACAAGACCACCATTTGAACCCTTTTCACATAGTTACCTAGCAACGCACTCCCCACTAGGTGACACTGTGCTTGATTGGAGGAGAGTAGGAATGTCCCTGAAACCCTGAAAGTCTTCCTCTGCTAGGAATCAAACATTAGTGGCAAGGTAAAATAAACACAGAAAGACAAGAGCGCGAGTGCCTTGGTGAGTTATGACAGATTGAATGAAGATGACAAGGATCATAATAAATGTCTGCCTAAGAAAAATCCCTGAAAGAAAGCCCTGAAAGATAGCCTTTTGTGATAAGAATGGGTTTCACACAAGAAGACAGCTCCACTTCAAACTCTTCCACATCTATGATCCATCTCTTGGTAGAGGTTTATTAGAGTAACACATTTTCCCTTGGTTTCCATTATTTGTCAAGTTGTGATTTAAAAGGTCTGACAAATTTTATACTCATGCACTGTAAAGTTAAATGCATTACTCATTTACAGCCTCATCAGGTTTGTGCATTGCTTATCCTGTTAATTTCTGTGCATCATCCTGGTTGTCAAGTGTGTGGGAACAGGCACAGATACAGTATGTGGCTTTGTTTCCTTTTGGTCCAGTTTCACCCACTGATCTCTCATTGTGGACGGCTTTGAACTGTTATCCTATTTCATTAATGTCTTCACTCACCTGTAAATATAACCAACATTTAGACAGTGGTGAAATGTGATGGAAAAGACTGGTCTGATTACAAATACCACACCTTTGGCTTTGAGCAGCTGACAGGTGGGACTAATGAAAACATGTCTGATGTCTTAATGCTGTCATTTGCCCTGCAACACCACTATATGTCAGAGAGCAGGGGAGAGCTAGATGAGATGGGAAGATGGAGAAAACGACAGGAAAAGAGAAGAGAGAAAGGAGCGAGCTTGAGCAGTGGCGATATGACATGTTTGCCCCGAGGAATTGAAGCAAAGAGGGAGTCAGGCAGAGAGTGGGAGAAAGAGATGGCGGGAGACGAGGAGAGACGAGCCATGTCCAGTCTCACAGTCGACTGGGCTGCACACGTCAGCATGCTCCATCCATCATCGGGTTCCGACTCATGCACACACAGAAAGCCTCTAATGGCCTTTTACATCCACCATTTCCCCACGATCAACGCCCCCCTGCCTTCACCGCTAATGTACCTAAGTTACCTTTACTCAAGTAGCTTTGGCCTGTGCTATTGCTACTGCTATGACAGAAAAGGAACAGTAAACAAACTTTTTAGAAAAGGGCCATCAAAAGCAACAAATGACATGAACATATCAAAATTGTGATAAACTACCACTGGAAACTAGAAGACGACAAAATATGCAAGACATAAATGACTGGATAAAACTATTATGTCAGAGTGCAATTAAACATCTGATTTAGCTTTTCTTTTTTTTTTTTTTACAAAAACATTTGCGTGATCAAATTATAAATTATCATCATTTAAAGTATAAGGGTTGAAAGTATACTGAGGTTTTAAAGACAACATTCTCATCAACATGAACAAAAACCTTTGTTTGCCTGAGTTGTTCCATAGCAAAAATCAATGTGACACTGAACCAAATTCAAATCATACTAATAGAAAGTTATACCCACTGAGCATTTTGCTAAATTAAGAAAAAGGACAATGCCAAAATAAGATGACTTTCCAAAATAGTCTTTTTTTTTTTTAGATAAAAACTGAAAATGCTTAGAATTACTCATTACAAAAAAGTAAATGAAAACATGCCAGGCAAGCAAGTAGTAGTAAGTAATCTTTATTTATATAGCACCTTTCATAGATAATATCACAAAGTGCTTCTTCACAAGGTCAACAGATACAAAAGCAGAACAAACAAAATAACAATATAACAGAAACCAAAAAATAACATAAAAATAAAAGAACAGGCATAAACATATTTAAAACTAAAAATCAACTAAAGGCCTGTCTAAAAAAGTGTGTCTTCAACTGCTTCTTAAAACCATCGACAGATTCGGCCATGCGTAAAGACAGGGGCAACGCATTCCACAGTCTAGGAGCCACAACCTGAAACGACAGGTCCCCCCTAGTCTTCAAACGGGTTTTGGGGACCATCAAGATGGCCTGGCTTGAGGAACGGAGAACACGCTTTGGAAAGTATGGGGTCAATAGATCAGCAATATACTGAGGAGCCTGACCATGAAGTGCTCTAAATGTTAGCACTGAAATTTTAAAATCAATCCTAAACTTAACTGGTGAAGTGAATATACAGTAAGAAAGGCGTAATATGAGCTGTTCTAGAGGTTCCTGTAAAAAGCTTCGCTGCATCATTCTGCACAATCTGAAGACGATTTAAGGCTGACCTATTATAACAAATAAGAAGGGAATTACAATAATCAACACGTGAAGAGATAAAGGCATGAACAATCATTTCCAAATAAACCTTTGATAACATTTTCCTTAATTTAGTGATGTTCCTCAGGTGATAAAAACAATTCTTAACCACCTATCTTATGTGGCAATCAAGAGACATAGACTGGTCAAACACATGTGTTGTGATGACCAAAAGCTACAACCTGGACAAGTGAGAGAAATGAGGTCAAGAAAACTGACAGTGTAGCAAAAAAGTCTGCATTCTGAATTCCTCACTAGTGCTAACCCAAGCAAAGACTGCTATCACTAGCAGGATGCTATCTGTCTTCACCTCTATTGCTTTCCAGTCATTATTGCCCTGTCCTTGGGATATTGGACACATTTTTCATTCGACCGAAGAAGATTGGCACCGGCTAGGGAAGAGTGACTTTAAGATAGAACATGGTTGAGTCACAGAGAGAGGAAAAGACAGCACCTATGTATGGAAAAGAAAAAATACCATGTCCCCTGAAGATGAGTGCATGATGTTTGGCCCCATACTGGATAAAATGAGAGAATAATCCTGGCCCAGTAAACTGTGTTTTGATGGCACAGTGGATCAAGCTTTGAAAACAGAAAGATGAAAAGACAGAACTAGTGAGGTATCATTAATTTCAAGAGTGGAGTGCAAGTGGTTAGGACTGTGTCGGCCATTCCAGAGAAGTAACACTACTTTCAGGAGTTGACTTTGACCATAAGTACATGGGAATACTTAAGGTACTTTTAGGATTTTGTTTCTTCAAATGACAGAATAGATCTGTGGCAGTTCATATGAAAAATCTAAATACTGGTAAAGTACCACTACAACTCAGGGTTATACGCCCATAGTCCAGAAAAGCTACATTTTTGTGTGCATATATACTTTTTCCAATAACACTAGTCAGGGATTTCCCCACCACGGAAGGGCTTAGGTGCAGCACCTAAGTGTTTTGCAGAGCACCTTAAGCCAAATGAACATAAAAAAACCTTTAGGCAACTTATGAGAATGAATATAAGCTAAAAACAACAGGGAGAGTTCTATGCACTGACAAAAGAAAAAAAAAGAATAAAACTAAGTTTCACAAATTTTGAGAGGATAAGAGAGAGAGAAGGGGGGACTAAAATAAATAAACTAAAATAAAATTTCCTTTGAATAATTTCAAACTTCCCAACCACCACCACCACCTGACCTAGAACACACCTAAGCCCACTGAAAACCTAGGGAAAACCCTGCTAGTAAATGTTAAAATAGTAAGTGCTAAGGTCAATACTGCAACAGATAATTCAAATAGTTACATCACACCCTTCCACAAATACCAAACAAGAGAATTTTTTTTTCTTTCATGTCTCCTAGCTTCTCCCTTTAGAATTCTACACCAGTTCTGTTTCTTCTCAGGTTTTCACCCTTTAATGTTTCCTGTTGTCTACTTGTCATCTACCCAAGATGTGTCTCAATACAGTCAGCCTGGCAGGTTGCATTCTGACAAAACCTGCAGAACAGTGCATGCTTGACCAAAGTGCCTTGAAACACAGGCATTCAAAGGCTCAATGCAATATTGATGTTAGGAATAATGTAGCTGAATGCTGGCTATGAATATTTTATAAAGCTATGCACTCTCCCTCACACACTCACAAATGCACACATACGCCACACCTGACTGTGGGTGTTACGGACTGCTGAGACCGAGTTACAATTAATGGCATGGGAAACAAAGGACAATACAATGAGAATATGAGATTCATATAGAAGAGCCCCCATACTGCAGCAGCAACACAGAAATCATTTTTGTATGAGACACC